GGAGAGTAGTTTGCAGAGAAAACCAGAAAGGGTTCATCTTGAGGAAAATATGGTATATGAGTATTATCTGGCCCTGTGTTCTATTAATTACTTAACAAAATGCCTTTACTTTTTTTTTGGAGGGGGGCAGTTGGGGTTAAGTGACTTGCCCAGAGTCACATATCTATTAAGTGTCAAGTGTTTGGTCTGAGATCGGATTTGAACTCAGGTGCTACTGATTTCAGGGCCAGTGCTCTATCCACAGCTCCACCTAGCTGCCCTTAAATGTCTTTACTCATGTAATTACATTGAAGCATTTAAGTCAGTCAACACGGACCATAGAGTTTCACTCCAGTTTATAATATGTAATGATACAATGAATAACAATCTTCATTATAAACAGGAATAAATTTGTGATCTCAGTGTTATAAAGTTATTCTCTCCAGTGATGCAAATCACAGCCAATGTACGCCTGCCTATCTTTTGTGACTCTATTCCCTGTCCTTCTATAAGTTAACCTTATTTGGTCCATCTACAGTGGAGCGTGCAATCTATCCATTTGTTTTCTCCTCACTCTTGCTAGCTATCTTCTTTTTCATTCGTACATTTCTTTGCTAAGATCATTTATACCACTTCTGCAGCATAATTCCTCCTTTGTATCATGTTACCCCTTGCTCATGCCCTTTGGATGAGTATCAACTAAGTTTTTTAAGACTAATGTTCGATGATTCAAAACCATACATCAGTGGAAGAATATTGGTATACAAATAATAGAGCTTTGTTTCAGAAAGAAACTGAGTATATTATAAGAATTTTGCTGTTCCCAAAAGCAGTCTAGCCTGCTGTCTTAACCATGTCACTTAAACCTTAAACCAAGTCAATGGCAAATTGGCCAAGCAAAATAACTTAGTGTAGTTTAACTAGAAATAACTGATGCTAAATGTGCACTCAAATTGCTGTAGATTTTCAGGTAGCTTTATCTTTTCCCTACATTTCTCTTAAGTATAATGAATTATGTTTGATTATCTAATATCTTTTCTTTATAGGACCAAACTAATTTAGCCTATTTATTACTGCTTTCCTTTTCTTTTTTCACCTAGAAATGTGTATTTTATGTCCTTTTCTAAGATTTATTATTCAATTAAGATCCTACATTTGAAATACTTTTTTCTGTATCCCTCTTCTAACATTCTTTCTTTTGTTAAAACTCAGCTGAAATTATCTTTCCTAACTTATTCAGTTCCCTTGATTATATTCTGTTGTTTTATATTTTCCCATAAATTTTGAAACTTTTCCAGCTGATTTGAAATGTGTTTTAATAGCATATGAGAAAGAGCTACACAAGGTAAAGGTTCTGTATTATTTTGGGAGAGCCTGTGGTAATATGTCATAATTTCACCAGTATAGAAACAACCTGAATCTCTTTGCCTAGCAACACTGGAAAGGCAGACTAAGTTCATTATGGAAATTTTCTTCATATGCTCTGCTTTGAGAGGCAGTGTGGCAGAATGAATAGAACTGTCCCTGCCAGACTGGCTGTGTAACACTAGACAAGTCTCTTACCCTCTCAGTGCTCAAGGGCCAGTGGTGTCAAATTCAAACAGAAAAGGGGACCACTAAACCATATAGAAGGACCCCTGCTACTGCATCAATATGCAATACGTCAGTACTTAGAATCACATGTTAACATCATATATGTTCTATTGTATTTTTAAAATTAATTTTATTAAATATTCCTGATTACATTTTATCTGCTTCCAGTAGCATTGGGAGTTTTGTGGAAGCCTGCATGCCCCATGTCCGGTCTAGACAACTCTCTAAGACTACACATTTACAGGAAGGTGACTTCATGCGTCTCTGTGCTATGTAGTTTTTTTGCTAGCATCATATTCTATAGGACATATGTTGGCACACTGGAGCATATCCAAAGGAGGGTGTGACCAGGTCAGTGAAGTACTTGGAGACCATTCCTTGGGGATCAGCAGAAGAAACGGGACATTCAGCCTGAGAAAAGACTTCACAGGTCATTGTATCTCTCTTTAAATACTTGAAGGATAATCCAGTAGAAGAAAGATTAAACTTGTTCTGCTTGGTCTCAAAAGGTCAAACTAGGCACAGTGAGCAGAAGTTGCCCAGAGGCAGTTTTCAGCTTGATGTAAAGAAGAACTTCTAACGATTAAACTTTTCCAAAATAATAACAATAATAGTAATAATGATAACAACAGTAATAATAATAGGTAGCATTTATGTTAGCATTTTAAGGTTTGTAAAATCTTTTACATATGTTATTGTTTCATTTAATCCTTACCAAAATCCTGAGTTAGATGCTATTGTTATTCTGATTAAAGGGGGGATGGCCATCTTAGAAAAGTAGTGGGTTTCCCTCACTTGGAGGTCTTCAGTCAGAGGCTGGATAACCACTTGTTATGGATATTAGAGAGAATCTTGGTCTGGTATGATTGGATTACATGCTCTCTGGGGTCCCTTCCTCCTCTAGGACTCTGCAATTCTATAATGACCTTTCAGTGCAACTTGAACTTATACAACTTTACCTAAATATGAGTCCAATAAATTAACCCCCATTGGTGAAGCATTATGACATGGAGCACTAGAATTGTTGCCAGCGGATCTTGATTCCTATGGTGGCTCTGCCACTTACTGTGTAACCTTGGTGACTTAATTTGGTTTCTCATTCTTTAAAATAAAGATGCTAAACTATATGCACTGGAGTCTTTTCCAGCTCTAAATTCTATGATATATTTAATAATGTCTCTTAATTAATTGTGCCAATAGGTATCCTTCCAAATGTGAAGTTCATTCTTATATTTGCAAAGGGGAAAGAATGGTTAATGAGACTGTAGCCATTCATAGGAATATAGCATTTAATTTTTGAAAAGAAGGAAGAAAATAAATTTTCCTACTCCTGAATTTATAAAAACAAATCATCTTGGAATAACAAAAGGTCCAGAATATCAAGGGAACTAATGAAAAGAAATGCTGGGGAAGGTGACCTAGCCATTCCAGATCTTAAATTGTATTATAAAGCAGCAATCATCAACACTGCTTGGTAATGGCTAAGGAATAGAGTGGTGGATCAGTGGAATAGGTTAAGTATGCAAGACACAGTAGTCAATGACTATAGTAATCTATTACTTGATAAACTCAAAGACCCCAGCTTCTGGGATAAGAGCTCACTCTTTGACAAAAACTGCTGGGAAAACTGGAAAAGAATGTGGCAGAAACTAGGCATAGATCAAAATCTCACACCATATACCAAAATAAAGTCAAAATGGGTTCATGATTTAGATATAAAGGCTGATACTGTAAGCAAACTGGGAGAGCAAGGAATAGTTTACCTGTTCTGGAGAACAGAAGAATTCATGACCAAACAGGAGATAAAGAACATTATGAAATGCAAAATGGATAACTTTGATTACATTAAACTGAAAAGTTTTTGCATAAACAAAGCCAATGCTACCAAGATTAGAAGGAAGGGAGAAAATTGGGAAAGAATTTTTACAACCAGTCTCTCTGGTAAGGGCCTCATTTCTAAAATATAGAGAGAATTAAGTCACATTTATAAGAATACAAGCCATTCTCCAATTGATAAATGGTCAAAGGATATGAACAGGAAGTTCTCAGATGAAGAAATTAAAGCCATCTATAGTCATATGAAAAAATGTTCTAAATCACTGTTGATTAGAGAAATGCAAATCAGAACAACTCTGAGGTACCACTTCACACCTATCAAATTGACCAAGATGACAAAACAGGAAAATGATAAATGCTGGAGAAGATGTGGGAAAATTAGAACACTAATGCATTGTTGGTGGAAGTTGTGAAATGATCAAATCATTTTGGAGAGCAATTTGGAACTATGCACAAAGGGCTATAAAAATGTGCATACCCTTTGACCCAGCAATAGCACTTCTATGGCTCTATCCCAGAGAGATCATACAAATGGGGAAAGGACCCATATGTACAAAAATATTTATAGCAGCTCTTTTTGTGGTGGCAAAGAATTGGAAATTGAGAGGATGCCCATCAATTGGGGAATGGCTGAACAAGTTGTGGTATATGAATGTAATGGAATACTGTTGTGCTATAAGAAATGATGAACAGGTTGACTTCAGAAAAACCTGGAAAGACTTGTATGCTCTGATGCTGAGTGAAGTGAGCAGAACCAGGAGAACATTGTACATAGTAACAGCCACATTGTGTGATGACTAATATTGATAGACTTACCCCTTCTCAGCAATACAAGGATCTAAGGCCTTATGATGGACAATGCTGTCCACAAAGAAGAAAGAGCTATGGAGTTTGAATGCAGATTGAAGCACACTATTTGCTATTTTTTTTCTTCTGTTATGTTTTGTTTCTTCTTTCCAGTGGTTCCTCCTATTGGCTCTAATTCTTACTTACAACATCACTAATGTGAAAATATATGTTTAATAGGAATGTTTGTGTATAACCTATATCAGATTGTGTGCCGTTTCGGGGAGGGAGGTGGAGAGGGAAAGGGAGAAAAATTTGAAGCTCAGAAGCTTATGGAAGTGATTGTTGATAATTAAAAATAAATTAAAATAATAAATAATAATAAAATAACAAAGCATCTTCAAGTAAAAAACATATTAATATAATTGCCTCAAATCTTCGGACACAGTATTTCTTCATAGTTTGAACATGAAAGCATTTTTCCTGATTATATTATTGACTCAAGGTGATGGAAGTAGACAGTTCCTGAACATTTATTAAGGCCTTTCTCTGACAAAAGCCCAGCAGAGATAATTTCTAAGCAAGATATTTTAAAGTTTCATAATATAGATGTTCTTATGGTGTTCTAATATGTTAAAAAAAGATACTGACTTTTTAAATTGCCTCTTTCACCAAGGAATCACAAAATTAATTTAGTTCAAAGGATGAAGGTTTAAATCTTGCTAATAAGAAAAATGTATTTATTAAACCCTTTTATTTAACCAAAGATTGTTACAACCCTGAATTATCTATTTGCTTTTCTCTAGTTTGAAAAAGAAAAACAGCATGATATTCGAGCCTTCTTTTTACCAAAACATAATAAGAAAAGACACACAATGGCATCCTGTGATGAATCAAACCTACTACAGGAAAAAGATACTGAGAAGGCCTTGGATTATAGAAATATAGCTACGAGGGATGCCATTGATTATGGAAGTGATTTTGAACCCGAAGCTAAAAGATGGAAATCAGTGGCCACTCAGAACAATTCCCGTCAAAAAGAGAAAAGACCATCCTGGTCCAGTCCAACAAATGCTGAATTTATGAAAAAAACAATTCACAAGACAAAGTCTAATTCTATCAACGTATCCCTCCCTGGAAAAAATTGGCCGTGTGGTCTCTGCACCTATGTTAATAGTTCATTATTGCCTTATTGTGAAATGTGTGAAACCCCTCAAGGCAGTGCTGGTGAGTATAGGTAGGGGTAGAGTTGTGTGTGCTCCTAACTAGAACAGAGACCCTATTGCTTTTAGAGAATGCAGCTTTATCAAAGCTTAGTGAGACTGCTTGGTGACTTGAGCCTGGAATATTAGAATAAGACCTTCACATAGTGAAGACCCTGTGAATTTATCCTCTTTGGGAATGTGAAAAGTTCCCGTTTTTGTCAAGAATGTGTATCCCCAAGTGTCTGTGACATGGCATTAATTTGGCACAAATGGACATTTCTGATTAATGTCAGCAGGATGTGAATTCAGTGGGCAGGAATAGAAGCTCTGTTGCCATGGCAGCAAATATGCCTTATAGTCAGAGACCTGCTGTTTTCTTCTCTTTTGTAGATGTTATGATTTTAAAGGGAAGTTATAGATTTTTATGTTCTAAATAGCTGGATAATTCTCTGCACTTTCTCTGCTTCCTAAATCTGTGAGGTGCAGTATTTTTTGTATGGTAAATAGTAAAAAATTCCCCCAGGTTTCATTTCTTTAAAGAAGCTAACTGGACTGTCTGTTTTAGTAATTTATTATATTTTTAAAGGCAGAAAGTGACTTTAAAGCAGAAATAAAGATGTCCTAAACTGCTGACTGTATGTATTTTTATACCACGATCAATCATTTTCTGCTGTGTAGTTAGTTCCACAGTTGTCTTATGAAGAATGCCATTGATGTTTCTTCTGTTCTGTAATTCGGAAGCATATTTTTATGATTGTGGAAACTGCTGGTTGACAGCATTGGAAAATGAAATACAAATTTTATTTATGAGTTCTAATAATCATACCACTGATCTATCTGGCACTTTCTGGCCTCCGAGCTCTTGACATTAACCAGTGAGTCAGCTACTTGGGCCGTAATAGTCTGAGCTGCTCTCTGCCCTTCCCTCCAGGGTCTCTTAGTTCTTCTGATCCAAAGCTAAATGCAATCTGTAGCGATGGCTTTACTCTTTCAGTTCCTGGTGTTCCTGCCAAAATTGACAAAGTCTGCCATCTGGGTAGTTGTATTTGTAATGTGGGCACCTGTTGTCTGCAAACTAAATTGGAACCACAAGCTCATTTCACAGACCATCCCTATAGCAATTAGCATGATTTCATTCAACTCCCAACTGTTATCAGCATAAAAATAAAGTACTCTTTGCCCGTAAAATAATTTCTGAGCACATGAAGTATATAAGATAAATGACTCAGCAGCATAATTTGGAATTTAATATTGGTTAATAGTTTCTTATTTTTTTCTCTTGTGCTATCAAAAATCAATCCTGAAATTGCCTCTTGAATGATAAGGTCATAGGAAGATTGTCTCACTTATATTTGAACAACATTTTTAATGACTTTTCACCAACTTTATCAGCGTAATTAAAGATGGGAAAAAAGAATGTTCTTATTAGTAGTGATCATGTCATTATATAAAAATTAGATTAATTAGTTTAATGAAGGTTAAGTTACTGTTTAGTGAAGTGATTCCCACTGCCTGCCGTCTTTTTGACACCCCAGGATATCTCCAAATAACTCAAGGGGTATCATGGAAAAAATAATTTAAAAAACAAAATTAATTTTAATTTACTTTCAGTTAAAAAATACGTGCCATATGGCACATTTGGAAGGGGACAGCTGTTAGCAAATCAAACAGTAGAAAGGTGTCACGATTCTAGAAAGGTTGGGAATCACTTGTTCAGTGCATTATAAGTAATTTGGCATAATTTGCATTCAGTTCTAATGTTTAAGTCACTATTGCTTAAACTTCCATCTGTGCCAAGGTCTTTTTGAAGTTATAAATACATTTTTTTCACTTTCAAGAAACTGCTGATAACTTTTATTTCGTTTTCAGTTCTTTTAGAAGCAATAATGTTTATAGCAGCAAAAGCATTAGATGAAGAGTTAGACACTTAACAACTGTGTAATCCTCAACAAGTCATATCACTCTCTGAGCCTCAGTTTTCTTTTCTGTGAAATGAACATATTGCTTTGTATTATCTACTTAGGGTATTGTGAGGAATAAATGAGATAAAATATGTAATTTTATTGTGAATATTGTTAACATACTGCATAAATGTGAACTGTTGTTTTTGTCATTGGTAGTACCAAGAGGGATGTTTAGCTTAGAAAATGGGAAACTTCATGGAGCATCAAAACAGCCTTCCATTATTTGAAAGACCTCTTATGTGAAAGAAATTAGATTTATTATATGTCATATTTGAGGCCAGGCCTAACCTCACTGGTAGAAGTTATATAGTGGCATACTTTCACCCTTTGTAAAAACTTTACAACACTGAAGAGCTCTGCAGCAATGGAATAGGTCACTCTGTGATATTATTAGTTTCCTATTTAGGAAAGGCTAGATTTACCACCTGTCAGGAATGTTGAAGAAGAGATTTTGTAGTAGGAGGGATTTTGAGCTTAATGACATTGAGGGTTCTTTCTGACTATAAGATGCTGTGATTTTATGGCTTAGAATAAAATAAGTGACAGGTTTTTTCCCTACATTTTGAATGTCCTGTTCTAGCACAATGGCTGAACATAGTAAGCATTTAATAAATGCTTACTGATGAATTTTTTAATTGATTTCTCATTTCTTTTATTATAGTACATCTGAACAAGCAGCAAATAGACTATCCCAACTATATCCAGGATGAAAAAGGAAATCAGGTGAATGAGTCTCAGAACAGCATCTTGCAAGTTGAAACCAACTCTTCCTGTGCGCAGCAAGTCCTTGAGCAATCAGCAACAGAACAGTTTGTGGAAAGCAAGGGAGAAAAAGCTAAAAGTGAAAATGAAGGTGGAGGTGGACCAACACCCCAGAAAGGTGAATGTTTCCATTAGTTTGCTTGTCTTTAAAGTAAGATGGTTGGTTGTACTAGATAATCTGTAAAGTTACTAGCATTTAAATGTTTTCTTTCTTTTAACGCACTTTATCAGTTGAATCTCATTTGCTTCCAGAGCAGATTTGAGGAGGCATAAGACACAAAAATATATTATTATAGCTAGCATCTTCTAATTTTTAAAACCAGCTTTTGTAACTCAGTATTTAAAAGAACAACAACAGAAGTGTGAGAGTTCTGGACTTGAAGTTTTAAGACCTGTTTTCAAAGTGACCACAGGCAAGTCAGCTTATCGGAGTCATATTTTCTCATCTGTAAGATAGGGTTAATAATACCCACACTCCCTGCCTAATAGTGCTGTTTTGAGGAAAGGGTTACATCTTAAAATCTTAAAGGGCTAAGTAAGTGATTATTACTTTTGGTGATAGTGATGATGGAATCTGATTAATGGCATTTAGTCCTTCCACATAAAATGAAGCTAATAAATTGTTAAAGGATCCACAGCCAGTTATTTTCCCAACTCTACCCAAATCCAATCTATTCTGACAGTTGGAGTTTTCTTATTGCTGTTTGATATATTCTTTTGGACAGTTGGTAAGTAGTATATATTATTATATATGGCATATTTTTGAAGTTGACTATTCCAACCATGCTTTGTAAAGATATACAACAAATGACAGTATGTCTCAAGGTACTGCAGGAGAGACTAAAATATTTTAAGTTTATTCCTCTTTTTTGAATGACTCCTTCCAGTATCTATAGTTATGCTTATATGTGTATATAAACATATATGCATATACATAATGTGCATATACACATATGTATGTATATGGTGGTTAGCTAGCAACAAGCTATCAAATATCAATGTCAGATCTGGGCCAGCTGGCAAGAATTGGCAACATTATGGGAATCACTGTTTTTAAGATGTGTTATTATATGTAGTATATATGTTACTTTGGTAGCTTTTGCAGAATGTTATTCTTGATAGAATTACCTAAAATTGTTAAAATGAGTTTTTAATGTATTGTGTACATATTGCTTGCATTGTTTTTGCAGTAGTAATTTAGTGAATTTAGCATGTAATGTCCATATAAAGCTGTAATTACTATGCTAGTGTTTGTGCACCAAAGAGGTTCTATTTAAATGACAAATTTTCTCATTTTAAAATCAAAGATTTCCTCTAGCTATTATTTTTCCTTTCCTTCTTCTTCATCTTGCTCCCAAGGTTTTTCTAAAACAATGAATTTGAAAATATTTATTCTAATCCTATACACCCCACCCATATTCCTACTCAATTCCTGTCATCCTCTAGACCCCAGTTCCTTTGGCAACAAACTCCTTATTCTGGGCCTTTTCTACTTAGATTTGTTTCATCTCCTTACATTAACAGAAATGTAGATTTTCTTTCGTGTTATTCTCTAAACCTTCCCCTGCCTCTGATTTCTGTCTCTGCATAGTGATCACTGTATTCCAAGTCACACATGGCCATAACTTTAGAATCACATGCAACTCTATTCTACCCTTCATTTTATAGTCTAATAAGTCAATAAGCCTTTAATGGCAGTTCTTTCATTTATCTATACCCTCCTGTCCACTGCTACCATAACCACTGCAGTCCATGCTTTTAATTTTTCTCCCAGTTGAACTCCTTGGAACTGGACTCCATTGTCCTCCTGGGTGGGTCCCTTCTTCCCTCCCTCCTTGCCTTTTTTAGCTTCCTTTTGTATGTTGTCTTTCCTCATTAAATTGTTAATTCCTTGAGAGTAGGGACTCTATTTTTTTTTTGTTTGTATCCCCAGCACTTAGTAAAGTGCCTGGCAGGTAACAGGAACTACTGCTCCTGACTGATTTTTGTTCCTTCTCATCTGTTTTATTAACCTTTTTGAAGAGTTCTTTTTGCCTTCAGTCTTTCAACTCTCTAATCTGCCCTCCAAAATGTTCCCAGATAACTCTTCTTAAGGTATTATAATGATCATGTCCACCAGACTCAGAGGCTTCTCCCATCCATCCCCTTCTCTGTGGAACTATTCCCTTTAAGACTTAATCCAGATGCTAGTTCATCAAAAATCTATTCCTGAATTTTCTTTCCCACCCCACCAGTGGAAAAGTTTGTCCATCCTTCAGTAGGTTTCCAGAACTAACAGCCCCCCTCCCCCATCCAATTCCTCTCTATTGGCTCTTCCTATCCCACCTCATTTATATAAGATAATTAATCTTTTAACTGTTCTTGAACAGTCTTACTTTTTGAAGCTATTTCATATTCAGGTCTACCCCAATCTTTTTAATAAGCTACCTAATTACTAATAACAATCTTAGACATAAGTTTTACCTTGTGCATACATAAAAGGTAAACAGTCTATCCTTACTGAATCCCTATGTACCTTATATTTCTCTTGGTTCTTGTATGTCAAATGTTCTGTTATGTTCAGGTGTTTGTTTTTTTTTTTTAAACAAAGTCCTGAAAGTCTGACAATTCATTGAATGTTTTTTTTTTCCTCATTCAGAAGCATGGTTAGCTTTGCTGGGTATGATATTTTTGGCCGGAAGCCCAGTTCTTTTGCTCTTCAATATGTAGTGTTCCAAGACCTGTGATCTTTTAGTATGGCCACCGCTAGATCTTGTGTGGTTCTAATTGTGGCACCATTTTTTTTTCTTGTTGTTCATAATATTTTGTTCTGGAGCTTTCCAAATTTGACTATAATATTCCTGTGAGTTTTCCTCGTAGGATCTCTTTCAGGTGATAATCGGTGGTGGGACTGTGTGGTTGACAAAAAAGTCAATGTCACTAGACCATAGAGTGTGTAGAAGAGAAAAAAGTATAAGATTAGAAAGGTAGGAAAGGATCAGTTTTCACATGATGGAAATGAGCAAAATGAGGAGAATAATTTATACATTAACAACACTCTAAAAACAAACAACTTTGATCAGTTCAGTGACTATTCATGATTCAATGACTATGATCAATTCATGATTCCAGAGGACCAATGGTGAACTGTGCTATTCATTACAGAGAAGTAATGGAATTAGGATGCAGAGTGAAACATATATATATTTTTGTACATAGCCATTGAAGTAATTTGTTTACTTGACTATGCATATTTGTTAGAAAAATTTTGTTTTCCTTTTCTTTTTCTTAATGGAGTAGGAGGTGGAAGAGAGAGAAAATTGATTTCTGTTAATTAAAAAAATAGAGAGGTTAGGAGTTTGCTCCGATGTAAAATGTTGCATGTACTTTCAGATGAGATCACTGTCTTATTAGTTTTAATTATTTTGCTCTGTTACAAGAGATCTCTTACAAAGGTGGAGTAATCTGTAAATGTTTATAATATAAAAACAAAAGACATCAACCAGACTTTTTTTTTAAGCTAATAGAGGCTTTTACATTTGATCCTAGAGATAATAGGGAGCCACTGGATTTTATTGAGTATGGAATTGACATGGTTAGACTTGAACTTTCAGAGCTCAGTTTGACAGCTGAGTGGAGGATAGATAGGAGTGAGGAGAAGAGACTTGAGGCAGGGCCACCAACCAAACAGCTGGTGCAATAGTCCAAGTATGAGGTGAAGAGGAAATGCCTCAGGATGATGGTGGCATGAGGAGAACGGTAATTGTGCACATGAGGTATTGTGAAAACTAAGAACGGACAAGGCTTGGCAACAGATTTAATATGGGGGTTGAGTACTAGAGAGAAGGTGAGGGTGACACCAAGGTAGGAAGTATGGGTGACTGCAAGGATTGTCATGTCCTCATCAGTAATAACAAAGTTTGAAGGAGTAGAGTTTTGGGGAGAAAGATAATAAGTTCTCTTTTTGTACTTGTTGAGTTTGAAATATCACATATTCCTATGAAATATAAGCAAAATTTAAAATTGAATTGAGACAAAAGGTTAAAAAAATTAAACCGCAGTACTACTACTGCTATAAAGTAGTAGTACTACTCCTATTATAATAGTTAACATTTATGTAACACTTATTCTGCATCAGGTGCTGTGCTAAGTGCTTTACAATTATTATCTCATTTCATCCTCACAGAGTTGTTACCTCATTTTTGAGATAAGGAAACCGAGGCAAACAGAAGTTGAGTACGTTGCCCAGGGTCACCCAGCTAGTCTGAGGACAGATTTGACCTTGGTCTTCCTGACTCCAGGCCTGGCAGCCTTTCCCCCTTGAACTGATCCTTGAACTTTATTCTGAGAAAAGGTCCATAGACTCCACCAGACTACCAGAGAAGTCTGTTGCACAGAAAAGGTGAAGAATGCTTGCTCTAGAATTGGCTGCAGTTCTCTATTTTTTTAAGAGAAAAATAACAGAGGGCTTTGAAAATCTTTTTCTTTACCTTCCCTACCTATCTCCTTCTGTGTAATTTTTGGTTCCTTGAGATAAGTTTATATTTTTAAATTTTTTCATCAGTACTATGCAGAGACCATTTCAATTTAAAACTTCCCTAGGAAAAGCATTGTGAAGTCTTTCTGATTTTTTTTTAACTATGTATATTTAAATATGGGCATGTACATGCATATATACATAGCAATATGTATATTTATTTTTTAAATGATTTTTTTATTTTTTCCCCAATTACATGTAAAGAGAATTTTTAACATTCATTTAAAAAATTTTAAGTTCCACATTTTCTCTCTTCCCTCACCTCCCCCATCCCAGAGATGGTAAACAATTTGATATAGGTTATATACATTCAGTCATGCAAAACACATTGCCATATTAGTCATATTGTGAAAGAAGACACATAACCAAAGGGAAAAATACATATATATACAAAATACAGAAAGTGAAAAATAGTATACTTCAGTCTGCATTCAGACTCTGTCAGTTCTTTCTCTGAAAGTGGATAACATTTTTCATCATGAATCTTTTGGAATTGTCTTGGATCATTGCATTGCTGAGAATAGCCAAATCATTCACAGTTGATCGTTGTACCATATTGCTGTTACTGTGTACAGCATTCTCCTGGTTCTGCTTATTTCACT